TTTTTTTTTCTCTCTCTAATATTTAACCATTAACTATAGTAGTATAATTGAGAGCTATCAATTTGAACATTTATTAACCTTTAAAAAATAACTTCTAATTTAAGTGAACTTAAAACAATCTTCACATAAACCCATTATAATGTCATATTTAGCTACCTGTGCCCTTCAGCAAGTAGGAAATACACAGAAATTGAATAAAGTTGTCAAACACTAAATTCTAAATTAAATATAGATAAATCCTTAAAGCTACAAAAGTTATTGATTTCCTATTATTTTTTTCTTTTGTTCTTTGATTCACAGCAGCTGGGTTATTAGGTTATTTTGGCTGCTTTAAGAGCTGCCGCTGCTGAACATGACGTGGATCTGACACGCATCGTATTTTCTCACAACTCTTTACCTTTTCTGACCCACTTCAGGTCTTAAAGTCTCTATTAATGAGCTGATGAGTTGAATCGGGTGTGTTAGATGAGGGAGGCAGTGCTGCTGCTCCAGGACAGTTTTGAAAACCACTGCATTTCAGAGACATGTTCTTAAATGTGACTCCTATATAACAAATACTTACATGCACAGTTTTAAGGCAGCTTTAATCATCTTTTTGGTAACTTCAGTTTACTGACGACATAACTACGACATTACATGCTCGTAATTTCTTTTGCACTTTAATATGAAATTATATAGGCTAAATCGCACGTAGCCGCATTATCTTTTTCCGCGCTCGTTTGACTAGCGCCTGGTGCTGAGGCAAAATTGGAGTGCTCTCCTGAAAAGTCTCCCGTTTGATGTGGTCGTAAAGATGTTCGGCGTCTAAATAAATGCAATTATTTTCAAGAAAAAAGAGACAGAAGCAGCAGTTGTGAGTGGGGTGGCCAACCCTGTGCGTCTTTATAAACTATATGATCGCTAAGAGGAACGGACTGAAATTTAAGTTGTTATTTACAGAATCTTCACCTCCAGTCTGCTGTTAACTATTGTGACTAGATCATTCAAAAATCATTCAGGTTTTGTGACTCTGGATCAACTGATTATCCTCAAAGGAATGATTGGTTCGCGTCTCTATTTCTCGAATGAACTTTAATAAACCAAAGATAACAGGATGTGAAGATTTTCAGTAAATAACGACTTCAATTTCAGTCTGTTTTTAGTTGCATGGAAAAGCGCGACCGAAATCCTTCTTTTGTGCTCCACAGAAAGGAAATCCTACAGGTTCAGAACAACATAAGGGTAAGTAAATAATAACTGTAATTTTAATTCATGAATTTTGGTTCATTTAATTTGTTTTGTTTTCATTTAATTCAGGATCTGCTGACATGGACCAAAGACAAATCAGAGGTGGAGATTGTTGACCTCATCCTGAAGCTTCGGGAGAAACTGGTGAGTAAAACAGTTAAAAACCGCCGCTTTTTGAATATGATGGGGATAAAAGTGAATTGTTTGTTTTTTACAATAAAACATGTGCCTTATATCTCTTCTTCTGTATGTCCTACCCAGATGAGAGCTCGAAAACACCAGCTTCCGGTGAAAGAAGAACTTCTAGTGAGATTAGAGCAGTCCATCCAGACCATCATCAGCTCCTTGCCAGAGGATCTACAGACATTATTACACAGACAATGACAATCAGACCCACGTGAACAACACTGACCAGCAGATCCACTGATACATACATAGACTGTCTGTCTAGAATATACCAGCTATATATGAACCCATAACACCCGCACAGCTATCAACCCAGGTAAACCCATACACTACCTGAGAGGCCTTTCATTTTGGATGTACAGTACTGGAGAGAAACAACAGATACTGCTGCTATATGAGGTCATAGATGACACATGAAGAACACAGAAAACATTGATACTTCGATTAAAATCATTTTAATTCCTCAGCTAGACTTTACACCAGATTTTAGATGTCTGCTAAATTTAACATGCACCAAGTATTTAAAGCCTGCAGTCAGTTAGCACTGCATGACATTAATTTTATAAATCAACATTTAGTCAAGTAGATTAATTAAAGGATGAACAAATTGACTTTTAATTGGAATATGCAGCATGTATTTAGCACATGCAGTGACGTTCATAAGTATGTATGACATGTTCATTTAAGATGCTTTTATGATTATTTATTAAATATCAATGCTTTTATTCCAGTGATGGTTTTTAGTTATTTAGGGACATTTTGAAGCTCATTGGCATACCTGACCCATTAAAAAGACACTGCAGCACTTTTGGCTATTATTTATTTATTTTATACCTTACCTGATCTTTTACCTTTGCACAGGTACACCTATACTGTGTCGTTTGGCCAGTTTTTATTATTTTTATATTAGAAGCTGACTGTCCAGGCAATTTTTTAACCATTTAGATTTGATTTTATTGAGGGCTGGATTAACAGACTCCGGATTAACATACTCTGGATTAAGATTTATCTAATACTAGACAGATTTTAATTTATTATATATAATGGGATTTATGAACGACTGAGCAGTGGCAGTGAACTTGGTCACATGAGAGAATTAAATGATGTTTCGTAAATAGTTTTGTGATTGGAGAATGTCAAATTCAATGCCATTAATACGCAATACAATCATGTATAAGCTACTCACTCCGTCTGTATATAATGTGTTTGCCAGTCATGAATGTTCCTTTTTTTTTATACAACCTGAACCTTATTTGAAAAGGAAATGTTGGTTGTTCTCTTTAGTTGTGCTATGGCACTCTTGATTCAGTTTTGAACCTCATGCTGAACATTTTATTCATATTTAGATTTTTTCAGTTGTAGTTTGTGTAGGTGCCTATTCTGTGATTTTTGTGTTTGATTATTTATCTTTCCATTCACTGAAATGGTTCTAAGTTTCATTTTAAAATTTGCCACTTCTGCAGTATTATAAAATGTTTATTTGAAAGAGCCATATGTTTTTATGGTTGGGATTGTTTTATTAAAGTACATCTTTGAACAGAACAGCAGTAAGCGTTTGGATGTAAATTATATTTTAGCCATATGCTTATTCAAATGTGTTACTCAGTCGTAGACCTTGAGAAACCCCTCAACACTGCACATTTTGGGAAGACTTCCTGATGTGATGCACCTGATTCGACTCATCTGCTTATTAGTAGTGTTCATAAACTTAACAGAGTGTATCAGTGGAGCCACATACAAAATGTGCAGCTGGGAAACACCAAGACTGAAAATACTGGCTGAATTTAAATATACTACTCTTGATTATTTATTTGCAGAAATATTAAAGAGTAGTATTGTATTTCATATTCAGCCACGGTTTTAAATTATGCAAGGAGTGCCTATGTTTTAATAACAAGTACACACATTGCAGATTCCTCAATATACTGTAGTTTAGTTTTTATAATATATATTTTATAATATATAATAATCAACTAAGCAATTGGTAGTAGAGAAAAAAACATTTTCAAGTTTTTTTTTATTGACATGATTATTCCAGCTTATTTAAATAATACTAGAAGCTGAAACATTAAAATAAAAAAACCATCTTGAAATGATTGTGTTGTGTGACTGAATTTTTATTTTTTGAAATTTTTGCTGAGTTGCTTAGACAGTGGAGTGATGGATTTTACAAATTGTAAGTTGAAAAATAAATGTTTTTAAATGTATATATTGTATTAATACACTAATTTAATTTAAAATAAAATGCTGAAGAGAGCAAAATAGTTTGTTTTGGTCAAAATTGAAAATACACATTTACCTGACTGATCAAATTTATAAGACAAACCAAGATAAGCGTGAAAATGATCTGTAATTAGTTTTCTCAAAAAAGCATATGTACAAGCATATGTACAGCTTATATAAAGGAATATCAGTGTAGTCATCAAATGCCCTAGGCCAGGGGTGTCCAAGCTCGGTCCTGGAGGGCCGGTGTCCTGAAGAGTTTAGCTCCAACCCCAATTAAAGACACCTGAACCAGCTAATCAAGCTCTTACTAGGCATACTAGAAACTTAAAGGCAGGTGTGTTGAGGCAAGTTGGAGCTAAACTCTGCAGGACACCGGCCCTCCAGGACCGTGTTTGGGCAGCCCTGCCCTAGGCTGTCAGGAAAAAAACAGAGCTTACTACAATATATCCCCCAAAAAATCTGTATGATGATAAAGTAGCTCACATCTTTCTTAAGATAAAATTCAAACTGATATAGGTTTACAAACTCAAAGCAACTGTTGATATATATATATATATATTAAATTAATACATATTCCCAATAAAAACCCTGGAATTAGCTTTGTGTTAAATATATACATGGAGTTCCTCACGACAATATAGGAAAAGTGCCGCTGTCTGAAGGCATTACTTGCTAGATTCCCTCATAAAAGCCTGTTAGAGCTTTTTAAGAACATTTTCTTTGGCACAACCCCTTCTGTAGATGTTAACCTTTCAAATTAACCAAATAGTGTTACATTACGTCTCCAGTTATTATACAAAATAAATGACAATAGTGTCAAGATCTAATTCTGTTGCACACACAGGAGGGAAGTTCTGGATGACTGGTTAACTGTGTTACATGATCCAATACTGGATTCAAATCATTCATAGACTGTGTAGTATCCTGTCATGCAATAGTTGGAGTACATATGTCATTATCGGAAACATATCCACATTGTTGCTTCTGATATACCTTCTCACACTGCACACAAAAAAAGTGGTCAATAAAAATAAATGAATATCTCAGCACAAGTCGTTTGCATCATCTCATCCCTGTCATCCACCAACTGTGGTGTTGCTGCTTCAGCACAGCTTGTTTCTCTTGAGGACTAAAGTGCAAAATAGTCAAAATGGCCGTGAGCGTCTGCTGGCGCCCTCTGGTGTCATGGAGCGTGAGAAACCTATAAATGACGTTCTTGAGATACTCAAGGTTGGCCCCATCTCTCCCCTGGTCCCGAATACGCTTGTCCAACTCACACCGTAGCTCAGCGACCTCTTCTTCATGCCTCTCGCCATTAGCAATCAGCTTTCCTTGTAGCTGATGCAAGTCTTCCTCTAGATGATGCTTTTGTTTGCGCAAGGCGGCCACATCCACCTCCTTGCGTGCCAGCTGTTCAGCGTACAACAATAAAGTCGGCTCGTTGGGCCCAGCTAGTTTTAGAGCTTGAGCAATAATGTCGCTTTCTTGTTCTGGATCATCTTCCTCTAGGTCACCTCCTTCTATCGCTGTGCTGTTATTTGTAGCTTGCCTTCCAAAGCCGATCACCGTGGCCGCCCGGAGTCGCTCCAGCTCAAGGTCTTTTTCCGCAAGAAGAGCCATGGTGCGATCTCTCTGTTTGTGCAACTCTTCCTCAAGCCGCAAGAAGTTCTCCCTGTGTTGAGCCTCCAGCCTCTCGACTTCCTGTTTGTGGGTCTGCTGGAGTGCTACAAGCGCTTGTTGCCGCTCCTCCAGGTCCCGTTTGTGCTGGACTTCCGCTTCGTCGGAAATTATACGAAGGTTGATGTACTTCTCCTTCAGCTCGGCCAGCTGGTCACGTGCTTCTTCTAACTCTTTGGCCTGGTTGCCATCTTTTGTGTTCTTGTTTTTCAGAACACCCTGCGCCCTCATTTTGTAGCGCTCAAACTCCTCCCTAAGCTGCCGGAGCTCTTGCTGGTAGTGAAGCACTGATGCCTTCTCGCTCTCTGAGACTTCCTGGTCCTTTTCTCCTTCCAATAGCCTTTTGATGTCCAGACTCTGGTCTTGAGATCTTTGCGCAGCCAGGAGGAGTAGCTTCTTCACCTTCTCGAGTTTGTCCTTTAACACGTCCACGTTCAAGCTGGTGTCATCGATGTTTAGATCGGAGGTCGTTGACCTGTTGACTGCTGCGATGGCGAGGGTTTTATTCTCAGTGTCGAGTTGAAGGATGCGTTCTCGCAGCCTCTGAGCGTTTTGTTGGTCCTTCTGTCTTGCCTTCTCGCAGGCACCCAGTAGTTCGGAGAGCTCAGACACTCGCTCCTCAAGGCTGGCAACTCGTGCTTCCTCCATTTGTGCCTGTTCTTGGAGACGCTCATCTGCTTGTGCCACCTGCAAAGATACACAAAGGAAATTAGAATGTTTAGATTAGCATCAGACCAGGGGTGTCTGATCCTGCACCTGGAGGGTGACTATCCTGTAGAGTTTAGCTTCAATCTTAATTTAACATACCTAAACCAACTAATCAAGGTCTTCAGCATTACAAGAAAATTCCAGGCAAGCGTGTTTGAGATTGGATCTTAACTCGACAGGTCATTGGTTATCCAGTAGCAGGACTGGACACCCCTGCAACAGACTGATTATATCAGCCAGTCTAATTAATTAAGAATAAGTGAGTAGACGTTTATCTAGGGGTGAATCAATTTTAAAATTAGCAGCCAGTTTAATCAAGTGGGTGGAATGAATAAATGCTGGAAACCTAACATTCCGTGGACTTGTAAAATTGCAAAACTGTAAAATACGACCTCTTTTAAATGTACCTTTCTAATTTCCTGCTGAAGTTGCTGGTTGAAGTGAGCTTTGAGCTCTGCAATCTCTTGCTGGAGCTCCTCAACACGTGGATCAGGTTTGCTCTTCTCCGCTGCTGCAGCCTTTAGGCTCTTCCTCAGCTCCTCTCGTTCCTGAGTGATCTCTTTCAGCTGCGTTTCATAATCTATCCCTCGGTCTGCCGCCTGCATGGCTTCAGCCAACGCCTCTCGCGAATCCTCCAGTTTGAGTTCAGCATCCTGTCTCAGTCCCCTCTCCTCCTGCAGGAGTTTCTGGAGCTCTCGGAGCATGAGCGCATGATCGCCCTGCTCCTGCTCCCGTTCGTGCTGCTGGGTGATGACACGGGCTTTGCTCTCTGCCAGCTGCTCCTGCAGGCTCTGAATCTCCACCTGGTGCTGCTTCTGCTCTTCCTCCATCCTGGCCTGCAGCTCCTCCAGTTCCTGCTTCATCTTGCGCTTGTCCGCCTGGAATGAAGCTTCCATTCTGGACTTTTCTTGAGTGACGGTGGCTAAGGAACTGGTCAGAGTGGACAGCTGCGTCTTTAGTTGGATGACACGGCGGTCTGTGTCCGCTGAAGGAGGCGGCATCTCCGTACATCCACTGCTGCTGGAGCTGATACCACTTTCAGACCCACTCGCCTCCTCAGATAGCTGGGGCATCGCGTTTGCGACAGTCCCAGCGGTGGCTCCATCTACAGCACAGCTTTGGTCCTCCTCTATTTGGTCTCCTTTAGTACTGTTGCTGGTCACGCTAGTGGCCGTTTCAACAGAGGCTGCTGTATCCAGGCTGTCTTCGCTGTGAAGTGAAGATCGGTCATCCCCAAGGTCAGAGGGCAAAGGTCGTTCAGCGTTTTCTGAACCTCCACCAAAAGACA